CTTCCTTCCTTCCTTCCTTCCTTCCTTCCTTCCTTCCTTCCTTCCTTCCTTCCTTCCTTCCTTTCTTTCTTTCTTTCTTTCTTTCTTTCTTTCTTTTTTTTTGTATCCTTCAGCTAGGAAAGATGGAAAGTACCAAATACCTCCCTTTCCCTCCCCACTGCCAGGTGGGTGGGGAGGACTGTATTGGAAAGGGGGCAACCCACTCATCTGTGCCACACAGGGGCAATCATGCATTAAATAGCACTTCTCTTCAGGCTACAATGTGAAAAACCCTCCCGCCCAGGCCTAGGAACACGAGAGTGTGCAGAAGAACAAAGGGAGAGCCCACAGCCCAACACCATCAGGAAGAAAATGAGGTGTAAAGCTCTAGTATCCCCAGTGTGGGTACACAGGGGCAGCCCTCTAATAACACAGCAAACAGGCAGCCTGAGCTGAGAGGCCACCCAACTGCATCCAACAAGAGCAACTATGTACTCAGAGAACCTGCTAGCATACCAAGCCCCTTATTTTGCAGCCCAGGGCGCCCTTGTGACAGCCTTTTACGAATCAGAGGGCAAGTGTGAAGGAGTATTAATTCAGTAGGGAATCCAGCTTCTGTGCCTATGTCCCAATTGAAGACAACACAGGAAAGAGCTATTGATTCTAAACATTTAGAAAATTACCAGGTTCATGAGAACTTTGAGTATGGCTAAGGACAGGATAGAGAACAATGTAAGTTTTAAATGGGTCTCTTACCTTCTTGTCACTCAGGCCAGAAACCTGGTCCACATACTCCTCTTGGATCATGAAGGCTGCTAAGTTGGCAGTGTAGCTGGCCAGGAAAATGACAGCAAAGAAGGCCCACACTGACACCATGATCTTGGAGGTGGTCCCCTTTGGGTTCTGCACAGGTACGGAGTTGTTGAACACCAGACCCCAGAGTAACCAAATTGCTTTGCCAATGGTGAAAGACGGGCCGCCTGGCTCTGATGTGACACAAAAGACAGGGAGAAAAGTTTAAGTCTGGATATTTGGATCTATTTCAATCTATAAGAGCTGGACATTTCCTGGCAAGAGCAGGAGCCCCCTTTAATGACAGATTCACAATTCAAGGGCATGTGTTTCCCCTGGGGGCCTGAGGAAGGCAGAAGAGGGTTTCTTAGAAGAAAATCCAGAGAGCTTTCTCTAACTAAAATGCTTTCCACCTTCATACAATAGGCCATCAAGATCTTTTAGGTGAAAGTTGGGTAACAACGGCCAACTATCTCAATATGGTCACATCGACCATTTTTTCTTAAAATTTACCATTGTATCTATCAAGGAAGTATTTTGACTTTCAAGACATCAGCAAGAATTGTGTGAGCCCCTTTCTATGAGTGTCATAGAATTCCATGTTGAATTTCACCAGTGCTGGATGACTGAATGTACTTTTGGCTAAGTGCTTTTTAGCTTCTATCTCTTAGTAGCTGATATCTTAAAAATGACCTCGATTCTCCTAACCCCTCCAATGCCAACCCTTCCCAACTGGCCTAATGCAGCTGCAGCTTCTGTACAAGGAAGCCCAGCTAAGAGACCATTGACTCTTGGCCTGGCCATGTACATCACGAATGTAGTTGTTCTTGACAGATGTCCCTCTATCTGATCTTAGGACTTCTGCCCATAAGTGATTGGTGACTTGGCTGCTGTCTCTGCTTGGTGAGGTAGAGACCTTGTGTGTTACCTGAATCTTTGTGCACACTTCCACTACAGAAATGAGTCTCTACCCACAGAGTTTTCCAACCTGTTAACAAAGGTCTTGGAATGTTTTCTGTGATGCTGACAGCATGTGCTCATGTCGAACTTGTTATCTATCTGTGCACATACATCTGTGCATATGGACTTGACTTCATACAATAGATGTGCAAGTAGAAAGTTGTTAACCAAGCAAAATTTTGCAAACTATGCAATAGTCTAAGGAGACTTGATACTTAGAGTGGAACAGAGCTGGATTCCTCTGTAAAGAGAAGCATTCTAAAGTAACATGTTTATAAATCTGAATTTTTGTATTCTGGTTTTCTATTTTTTTTCCAGGAGGAGAGGTCTACCCTATTTTTGGCTCTTAACAATGTTGACCTTTGTCTACACTTCTGGGATCCTCATATGGTTCACCCACTAGAACCTCTCAGGTTAGAATATAGGTCACTGCTGCTAGCTAGCCTGTAGCATGGGTGGGAAGTCAATGACCATACCATATTGTGGAGACATGGAGAACTCCACCTCAGAAAACATACCAAACTATAAGGTAGGCCAGTACTTGGAAGTCCACTGGTGAAGCAATAGTTCTGAAGTTGGACTTTGAATCCCATCAAAGCCTGAATGACATGTTTATTGAACATTGTTGCCAGGTGACCACCCTAGAGGTTCTTATTAAACAGATACAAGGTGAATCTGGCTATTCTAAGACCAAGGTAAATAACCCCTACTTTGAAACATACAATGTCTAAGCCTCATCCTAGGTTTAGTAAATCAGTGGACTAGGTCCAAGCACCTTTGTCTTTTAAGTGCCCATTATGCAATTCTTAGTACCTAAGATGAAGAACCTGTCCTCTTGGAGGTACATTCCAGAATAACTAGAATTCTAGAAGGAAAAGATTTAGAAGAAGCAGCATATTTATTAATCCTGGGGCTTGTATGAAATTCTAAAGGAGCTATTTCTCAGATTCTCTTGACTCCTTCAGAGTTCAATGAAGTTTTTAAAAATATCAAAAGTACTTCGAACACAAGGCCAGTTTCCCCATGTTGATGCCTACCTACTCAGGAAATGAGACCCATTCTATAGTAGCTACAAGTGAGAACTGGCCTTCTGTGCCCTTTTTATTTCAAGCATGCTACTTCTACACTCCCTGGGAGGGGGGTTGGGCCAAAGACACAGGTTGTGGAGACCCTGTAACTCTGTAGTAACCCTTCAGCTACGGGAAGCTCCAATGGCCACAATAATTTTCATATGCCCTCTGCACAGTCTAATTTTTCTTATTCTTACTCTTTGTATATAGCCTGCCTTTTCCCTCATATTTCTCCCAATAAATTGCCCATAACTTATGGTTTACAAATAGTGTTCAGACACATATTAACCATCTCCAGGATCAATCTTTCTTCTCACTGCTTTCTTCTTACTGTACTTACTGCTACACTGACATGCTAATGGTCCCCAGCCTCACAGAAAGTAGAGAGATTACAGGTAGCAAACAATGAGTATAACAGGTCTGAGTTGTGAAGTAGGGGCAGGGCAGAGATACAGCAGTCCCATGTAGCCTTACCTCTGCCATCAGCGAGGCACCTGTTGTAACCCACGGGGCTGAAGTATTCAAAGACAAAGACAGCCACAGCAGAGACAATGAGCAGCATCACAAACATCATTACCCACACGTCAGCACTGAATGGCTCTGGGAAGGAAAGCAAAACAGTGCTCAGGGTCAAAACAGAACAAGCAGCTCATCACTTCCATAATCATCTGCTCGTGCAAACTCCTATTTGGGGAGGAGCGAGCCATAAGTGTGCTGTGTGCCCTCAGAGAGCCGGGGTTCAATTTGGGAGACATAAGATACACCCAAGCAGCTGCTTTTCCACCTGGGCATGTAAACATCACTGTTTTCAAATACATAAAGGCCCCATCTGATTTGTGAGCCTTTCTGGGCTTCATTGGGCAGTTTCTTTCACTCTCTGGCCAAATTTTAATCTTTCAATGAATGGTGCAATTGGAAGAAGTGGATATGCTACAAGTAAATGATATATAACTGACTTGCTTTACGTCTTCCTCAACACGGCCGTAGTGTGAAGGAAGCCTTCCCCAGGGCTTGTGAGTCTTGTGGACAAATTCTTGACAAACGCAGGTACTACTTCAGAGCTGAGTTGGTTTGGCAATACTGTCATACAATGAATAGCCATTCCCCTTCACTTTTGTGTCCACACACTTCTCTTAGTGTCCAGCCTGTAGGTACTTTTCCAGCCTACTTTGTTGTGGTAGATCATAGTAGATATCATTAAGATATGAGAGTTTGCATTAATTGGTTAAAAAAACTGCATTGACTCTCAGTGTCTGCAATGGTGGACATTTCTTAGGGGACAGGCAGGCATGGTTTGTGAATCACAGAGCAGCGACAGTCTGTCTCTTATTACTAAGCAATGCGTTGATGGGCTAAGGCTAGACGAGAGAACAAGACTGTCCTGTGTATGTTTTCTTTAGTATCTTTCATCGTATTTCCTACATCTATTCCATCTGAGCCAAATCTCTCTGGCTTAGAGGGACCCATAAGCTGAATGCTACATTCCAATAAGCCATCTCTATGATGCCTTAGATGCAAAAGGATGATGGTAATTCTGTTCCATGATACAGTGTCGATCAATTGTGTCCCAAAATAGTTCTGGCCTTTTTAGCTGTCACATCACATTGTAAACTCATAATAAGTGAATTAACATGCTGTTTTCCCCTTCTTCCAAGTCATTCATAAAGATGAAGTTGAGAGAGGGGGGAAGTTGGCTGAAAATTAGAAAATACGTTTCCCTCTCTGAAACCTACTTTATTATTGAACTTCCAATGGGATTATAAAAGCCTGGTCACTTAATCAATTTAAAAATACCCTTAACAAAGCCTCAGAGCTTAACACACCACTGTGAAATACAAAGCTTTCAGTGGCAGCAGGAGTTCAAACCTACAGGGTACATTTGAGTCTGCTTCAACTGGGGCGGGGAAAACCTCCTCCACCCTTGTCTATAATGGGTGAAAACCCTACCCTGGTTTCATGATTTTCTATGATTGGCCAAGAACTGAATGAATGCTTCACATCTGTGATTTCTCTCTCCTCCTGCTCCTGCCTCATCTAGCTTAGGGCAACTTTCTGCAAACAAATGTACCAAACATCTTTATTGGTTTTACAGTTTATGAAGGACTTCCCCATGTGTCATTGTTTATAATCTTTCTAATAGGCTTTTCATTATTGGGTGGCTATATTTATTTTACAGTAAATTAAGTGTGAGAGGGCAAGGTTCTTTCTACAGTCATGCTCAGAAAGTGGCAGTCAGGTTATGAACTGAGGGTACCCTGAAATTCCTAGCATTTCCCACAATATTATGTTGCATATTTATCTCTGTCCACTACAATGGCTCCAGGTTGTGGAGTGAACTAGAACACAGGTTAGGATGACAACCATCCTGGGCTTCATCATAGAACGCCTGGAAAATGCTTCACCATGGATAAGAAGATTGGCTAAGTAATATAAGTAACTTATAGTAAAGTCTTATAGAATCTATAATTCCATTTAGTGGTACATTAATTGAATTAATCCCACCACAGACAGAATTTAAATAAAGGCTAGTCACCATCTCTTCTAATATTTTCATTTAAAAAATGTTCTTCCCCTTATAGTGATTGTGACTAATCCAAAGGCTTATAGCTTGTTTATGACCAGACAAGGCTTCCTTTCTCATAGCACAGTGTTCTGTTTTCAAGGTGACATTTTATTTTTCAACCCCTGGCTGCACAGCCTCAACCAAGAAACAAAAACAAAAAAATAAAAAATAAAAAACATACACATATGGAATATGAGCTCACAAAGGACCTCATCTACTTGAAGTTGTGGCCTTATCTCACCCAGTCTTAAATCACATCTAATGCTTTTTTACATTTGAGTGATGCGAGAGAGTGGGCAAGTAGAGAATGTTATTAGGGATGAAAGTGAGAAAGGGGATAGGAAGAAGCCAGCTGAGCTCTGGCTAGCAAAATCTCAGAAAACTCATGTGAAAACGGAAAATGTGTATGTGTTCTTATGTGTATTAGCCCTGAGCTCAGTTCTTGAAGATAATTAAAAAATAAATAGGTCTTTCAGTTAGGTAGTGGTTTGAATGAAAATGGTCCCCATAGGATCATGTATTTGCCTTAATCCCCAGTTGATAAACTGTTTAAACAGGATTAAGATGTGGCCTTGTTAGAGGGGGTGTGTCACTGGGAGTGGGCTCTGAAGTTTCAAAAATCCATTCCAGGCCCAGTGTCTCTCTCTTCCAATACCTGTTGCCTATGGATCAGGATGTAAAGCACTCAGCTACTGCTCCAGCTCCATGACTGTCTGCTTCCTGCCATGATGATAATGGACTAACTCTGAATTTATAAGCAAGACCTCAGTCAAAGACTTTGTTTTATATGAGTTGCCTTGGTCATGGTGTCTTTCCACACCAATAGAATATTAAGTAAGACAGAAGATAGAAATTATTATTGCGCAAAAAAAGTCTTAGAGGTCAACTGATTGAGATGCCATATTCTGTGGATAAGGAAAATGGAATCCCAGGATAGAGCAAATTTTCTTAAATCCAAATGAACATTAAGTGATAAAAAAAGGGACTATATGGGACTTCTTACCATTCTCCAAGTATTTTCTTGTAGGGCAACATACCTCCTTGATTTCTAGGTGTTCTTAATTTTTGTGTTTAAGAATAACCAAGCATATTTCCTGTCTGAATTAAACTCCCAACAAATCATGTCCTGCAATTGTTTCTCATTCCAGCTACTTGTCCTTGAGTCCATTTCCTATCATCAGTAAACATGTGATTTACCTAAGAAGGCAGAAGGTGACACAGTCCCATTGCTGCGTGATACCATGACACTGATGCCAGTCTCTATGAAGGGCACAGAGAAGTCAACAACCTCTGATCGTTCTTCATTGATAGTTAGTGACCCCACTGCCATGTAGGCCCTCTTCATGACCACCTGGAAAAAAAAGGTACAATGCTCCAATTAGAATGTTATAGAAGGCAGGTCTACCACAAGCAAAATTCTCATGGCTCAGCAGTCATTTGGGCACAATCCCTAGAATACCATTCCCCTCCTCTGTGGGTCTGTTGTTGGTCTGGAGCTCACCAATTTAGCTAGCCTGGGTGGCCACCAGGCCTCAGGAATCCTTCCCAGCACTGGGATTATAAGCACATATTATTGTACTTGAAATTTCATTTGGGTCCTAGGGATCAAACTCAGGTCCTCATGATTATGAGACAAGCACATTACTGGCTGAGCTATTTCTCCTTCTTTCTAGTTATTATTTTACATGTTGTTAAGTTCACAAGATAAATCTTTAACAATGTTTAAGCCAAACATAAGTGCACAATGGAAATGACTTTGTCGTGACCTTGCCTCCTGATACTGACCTCACCAATCATGCCATTCCAGGTCCCATTGATTTTCTTTCCATGCTTGCCATTGGTCACCAGGTAAAGGTCATAGGTGAACTTCACAGACTTAGAAATTTTCTTAAGGATATCAATACAGAACCCCTTGCAGCACTTTTTGATGTAGCCTGGCTCCTCATCTGTTTTATTCCTACCCAGTTAAAGAAAAACAAAACAAATGAACAAAGCAAGACTTTGTATAGGAAGGAAAAATTACTTTTTCATTAAAACTCCAAAGTCAACCTCCTCTCTCATGGTACAGCTTATTCCTGAGTAAGGAAAGAGATCAGACCTAGAACTGTGGTATTTTTTGTTATCTCGGGATCCTGAGCCATATCATGGCTCACTTTTCAATGTTCCTTTGAAGCACAACAAAGATGAGGGAAGGGGTGTATCCTACAGGTTCAGCTTAATGAGTTTTTCATTGAGTTCATGGTTTTCATCAAAACCTGAACTCAGGTACAAAATGCCTACCAGATCCTGAGAGACTCTGCAGTTGGCCCTCTGAGATGCTTCTTCCCACCCTCATCTGAGAATACTGTAACCCCAACTTTTGACAGCATAAATCAACTGGAATTATTTCAAAAATAGGTCTAATTCTCAAAATGCTGGCTTAGATAGCACATATTTCCACACCCAAAGAAACCTAAAGCTCAGCAGACTTGAGGTCCCAGTCACTGGGGCTGAGCAAGGTCAAAGGAACCTTAACAGAGAAGTCATTGTCTCAGGTCAGGGTTTTAGATGGAGCCATACATCCGATCAAAGCTCCCATTGATCCTACGGCCTAATGGCAGCTGAGGATTTCCCAGGGGGCCTAACCCCAGGTCAGCAAACAGCACATCTGACTCTCTCCCAGGCCACCTATAACCATCCATCTAGGAAAGCTTCATACTCAGAGATGATGCGCTTCTGGCAGGGGACTGTATTCCTCATACAGGTTCCACTGAGAGGGTCCACACTTTCCACAATGACAAATGGAGCCTCCTCCAAGGTCACGATGCTCAAGTGGTCATCTTCCTGCTCTTCAGTTTCAGGACACATTCGAGGCCACACATAGTATTTCATCTGAAGGGACTTGTCTTTCCATTTCCCCACCTGTACAAGAGATGAAAAATGGCTCAGCTACCACAAACCACTGTCTCCTAGCCTCTCCCAGTCTTCTGAACTCTCAGAAGCTATTAAACAAAGGCAAACCAGTACCAGCATAGCACACAATGGAGAGAATACTTTTTAAAACAGATGCCGAAAATGAAATGACTGTTCATTCAAGAGAAGTAATCCTTCCATTCACTTACCCTCTCAATTAGTATTGAATGAGGACCTACAATGGTCTGGGGACCCTCCAAAAACCCACAGCTTCTGTATCAAGAACTGTGAAATTCTTCACTTTCCTGGTTCACATGGCTGTGGGGTTTGTTTGTTTGTTTGTTTTGCTCAACTATAATAACAAACATAATCCTGAGATTAGCAAAGAGTATTAGGAAAGACAAGAGAGTGCCTGTAGCAAATGAGGTAGCTGGATGTGCTCTGAATGATAACGGAAGTTTGCTGGGGAATTGTTCAGAGAACTATAAATCTCTGATTTACAATAAAATAAGGTTACATTGCGATGAAGAAATATAGACACCACTTGCTTGGAGAAGAGTGTGTGGTTGAGTTGGTGACAATTGCATGTGTCAATGCAGAGCTGTACCTGCTGAACTAAGAAGACACCCTTGGACAAAACAGATAGATTTCTCTGTGAGCAGCCGTGTGGGGCCATAAAGACTGTGCCACCCATCACTAGGAAAAACCATCGACATGACTCTAATGTGAAAGGTGTGCATTCCTGATGTCAACTCAAACTCCATCTCATCTTAGGCCACTCTTCTGTCTTCACTTAAGTGTGATTAGTTCCCCACCCCCCCTAGCTTGTCCCACAAAGCGGATGACTTTACTTCCATGGCCAAATTAGGACCCCATAGCCACCACCTTGCTTATTATATCTTTATACCATGGGCACTGATTTTGTGCCTTAGACTGCCTTGTTTGGCATTTGCAGTTTTCCTCTGGCATTAACTCTGGTGCTAGATGTTTTACTTTTCTCCCCAAGCTCTTTTGCTTCTAGATTCAGAATTAAGCATGGAACTCAGTGTTTTTGTTCCATTGTATGTATAGGTGTACCATGACCTCTGATGGGATTATGACCTAATAAGCTCATAACAACTTGAAAATGTAATATGAAAATGTATTGAATACTTTTGACCTACCATATATCACCAGTACCAAATTGAAAATATAGACACACACACACACACACACACACACACACACACACACACACACACACACACACGAAAACAGGGTCTAGGGAGATGACTCAGCTGCTTGGCAAAGTGATTGTTGAACACTTCCCTTAATGCCAGGTGTGGTGTCATGCACTTGTCATTTGGATGCTGGGGAGAAAAATGAAAGGAAAATCTTAGGGACCTGTGGGCCAGCCAGCCTAGCCTAATCAATGAGCCCAGGTCCCAGTGAGAGATCTTGTCTCAAAGTACAAAGTGGATATCCCTTGAGGAACAATAGGCAAGGTTGACCTCTACAATTAATACCCCATCCCCAAACACACACACACATATACACACACACACACACACACACATACCTTTCCACACATAGAGGAGATAAGTAAAATAAAATGAAATGTGGCTTCTATTGGGGGCAAATCACTTTCACGTCATCACAAAGTTAAAAAATCACAAGCTGTCCTAACGTGGAGACTGCTCACTCTTCAGTAAACTATTGATCTTGATTTTGTTGCAAATCTGTTCCCCTCATGTTGCTAAGGCTATCTCCAAATGACTTCCCAGATGTATGGAGAGCCTTGGGGAGAAAAGACACAGCACTGGAGACCCACTGAATCACATCCATTCCCAAGCAAGAATATTTATTCCAGGGGCCAAAGCAATATTAGTTTATGCATGTTTGATTATGTGGGAATGGTTGAAAAGCTTTAAAAGGCCTATTTTTATTTATTTATTTTTAAGTCCTATCATCTTCCCTCAATACGTACTTTGGCCTTTTTTTTCTTTTAAATATAATTGTATTGTTGTGTCTTTATAGTAACTAGCCTCTACTAGAGAGGTCTAGCCTTGTGACTCCTGCAGGACTTCTGAGCTTACATTGTGTCCCCGAGACACTGCTTCCAGGTGGCTTTCTGGAATCACAACTTTGAATGTTGGGGATTAGATTAGCTGTAGAATGCTTTCGACATAAACATGAAGATCTGAGTTTGATCGCCAGCATGCATCTGTAATCTCAACTCAGGGGCAGCAGAATGAGGTGTATCCTTAGAGTTCACTGGCCAGACAGCCTAGTCTAATTTGAGCACTTCAGATACAGTGAAAGAGTCTATCTCAAAAATAATGTGGCAAGAAAATAAAGTAAGCACTCACTGTTCACTGACAGCCTCCATACATATACATGTACATGGGCACACACCTACATAAATACACATTACACACACACATACATACACACACACACACACACACACACACACACACACACACACACACGCCCACCACATGACTTTTTCATACATGTCCATTCAAAAATTTCCACAACTTCTCTCAGTCCTTAGCATTGTGCCCAAATGTCTCACCTACATGTTCAAGTCCTATGTGTTAGCCTAGCCTACCTCTATCTAAACGACGTCAGTGCCATGGATCATGAGACTCAGACAAGGAAGTCATTTGATTTAGGGGTGCTCAACATAGGTCAGCCAGGGACAGATTGTAAAAAATAACAGTGGCAATTTCTTTACTAATAGACTTAATGTATCTGTGGGAGACAAGGCTGTGGAGAGAGCCTTTTGGCAAAGTTTTCCCTGACATTCCTGTGAACAAGATGAACTACAACATGGATTACTGCATACTTTGACAGACTGAAAAGTAGTTTAAAAAAATCTATATCCCAAAAGAAAAGAGAAGATTGTTTAAAGAATCAATGCCAACAAAGAGAGAGGTTTTTGGTGACATGTCAGGGGACTCTGCTCTTAAAAGTGACCTATATAGTGTTTTAGAGAACAAAACTGAAGTTGTGTTCAAGAAATTGCAGACAATAATAACCTAGTGAGGACAGATGATATCACATAAATTGCTGAATCAAGTTTGGAAGAAACGCAAATTAATTGGAATGACGGATTGAAACAAATGGAATAAAATGCAATGTTATTTATTCTGAAACTCCAACATTCATATTTTTTCCAAAAGCAACTGTTCTGAAAAGCAGATATTTCAATCAATGGCAGTCTATAAAAGCTATTGTGATAACAGATGATATATTTATAGATGTACAGTGTCTAGCACATGGGGTGAAGGGGGGCACAGATGATCCCCCTCTGTGTTCACAACACCCCAGCAGGGAAACTCAGTTCTGATCCTATAATTCTATGATCTCCTGGCTTTTATTAAATATGCCATTCTTATTTCCCCAACAATAAGTTGTTCACGGATTTTTCTCACATACCCTTTGCCAGACCAGCAGGATCATGTCTGTTTCACATTAATTCAATTCAACAATAATTACACACCAGTATGTGGCAGGCACTGGGTTGCACGCTAGTAGACAACAGGACCACATGATGTTTATTGGGGGCAGAAATGTGTCAGGTTCTGAACTCGTCTAATAATCTCATTCATCATCACAGCTAATCTGTGACTTAGCCTCCTCACTGATATCTAAGTCTATAAAAGGATTTGCTGACTTCTAAGATACTACCAAGCAGGATAAGTGAGTGTTGCATGCAGCATCAGGACTTGAAGCCAAGCAGTATGACTCGGAAAGGTTGAGCTCCTATCATGAATGATCTCCTAACTCTCTGACAGTGAAGGAGTAAGACATAGACACCCCTTCCAGAGGGGACCAACTTGACTGATGATACCAAGTGAGGCTTTGACAATTGCTTCCATGGAAGGTATTAATAAATACTTTGGCATTGAGAGTAGAAGTGATCATTTTGGGAAGAGTCACAGAGACACCTCACAGTGACCCCCTCCTCTTTTTTGAACTGTACTTTAAAACGTAATCCATAGCCCCTGAAGCAGAGAGGGCTCCATTCCCTGAACTAGATTCATTCTTTTCCTCCTAAATTCCTAACGATCACTACAATCCAAGCTCTGTCACTTTCAAGAGGCATCTCAACTCTGCTCATCTCGTCCCACATCCTTGCTCAGTGGCATTGGTTGGGTGGCTTAGACTGAGTATGGACACCATGAAATTGTTAAATATTAAAGATCAGGGCTTCCTCGGCTCACCCTACCCTTGTTGCCAGCTCCCCTCTCAACAGAATAACCAAGCCACTCTATTTCATGCTAGTTCCTTCCTTCTTGAATAGCTTTTATTTTGAAGCTTTGCTGGTGTCCTGTCCTCTTAAGCTAAGTTCCAAATCCTAAGGATTCCAGTGGCCATGGACAAAAATTCTAAAACTCTCAAAGCCTTGCTCTGCATATCCAGAAAAAAAAAAGGTGACTTGATTTTTGTGTCTTACATATAATTTCATGATTCCCATGACCTACTCTGGATGATGGCTTCACAACATTGTCTGCAGACTGTTTAAGGAAGAGGTGTTCTTAGCAGACACTTTCGCAAACAAGGGCATTATCTGACAAAAGACTCTCCTATCTTTTTTTTTTTTTTTTTTTTTTTTTTTTTTTTTTTTTTT